TGTGGGGTGGCCCGTGTCTATGTGTGGGGGTGGGGTGGGGGGGTGGGGGGTGTCCGGGTGCAGTGTTGCCTTGGCGAGGCGCGAAGGTCTGCCCTGTGCAGGGGTGATGTCCCGCGCGTGGCTGCGGTCCGGCCACACGGGGGCTGGGGGGATTTTGCTCGGAGGGCAGAGGGGTGGCGAGGCCGCAGTTCCAATGCCATCCTGAGGAGGAAACAGCAGGTACACAGCAGCTCTTCAGCCTCGCAGGAAAATGCACAACCAACCAGCTGAACATTAAAGCCAGGCAGGGTCAGGCAAGGACAAGGGACAGGAGCGTGGCACCGTGACCAGGGCCGGCTCTGCGCCGGGGCAGCCTCCCTTCCCGCGCCCACCTGCCCCCGGCCGTGCGTCCTCCGACTGTGCCCTGGGATGGGTCCCGCCGCCTACATCCCTGTGACCCAGCGTCTCGTGCAGGGTCGCTCACACACCAGGGCCCTCGCCACCAGGGCAGAGGAGCTGCCGAGGGCCGGTAGGAAGCCAGGAGCCCCGCGCTGGTCCCCATGCGGCTCGCAGCCTGGTGGAGGGATGTCCCAGCCGCGTCTCCTCAGCCTCCTGCTGCTGCTGCTCTGCTGCCAGGTAAGGACGGGCCATCCGGCACGATGGTGCTCTGCCCTGCAACCAGCGTGTTGCCTGCCCCTGAGCCGTCGCCGATCCACCCCTGCTCGCAGCAGCCCCTTGCCACGGCATGCTGTGCAGCAGCCGCTGCCCTCTCCTGCCTGCCCTGCCATCCACATGGCACGACATGGCATGGCACTGCATGGCATGTTAGCCTGCACTAGCCCATGGCCGACCCCAAGCTGGGGTCACTGGCCCTGCCCGGCACGGCAGTCCTTGTGGGCAGGGCACGGGTGACGCTCCCTGGTGCCCCCAGGGCCCCTCTGCCCAGATCACGGATTTCCTCTTCGAGAGCTGGAAGGCGTACAGCGAGGAGTGCCACCGCAACATGAGCAGCCTGCCCGCGCCCACAGGTGAGAGCCGGCGCAGGGTCCCAGCAGGACGGGGACCATGGGGAGAGGGGCCGGCGTGGGGTCTGGCGCCCGGCTCCCTGAGCAGGTGGGGCTGAGGGCACCGCCATGTCCCGTCCCTCCGCAGAGCTGGTCTGTAACCGCACCTTCGACAAGTTCTCCTGCTGGCCCGACACGCTGCCCAACAGCACCACCAGCGTCCCCTGCCCCTGGTTCCTGCCCTGGTACCAGAAAGGTAACAGCTGGGCGGGGGCGGGGGGGAGAGGAGGGTGCACGTGTGTGTGTGCACACGTGTGTGCAGGTGCTGCTCCAGGCGGTCACGCCTGGGCCGATGCACAGCGCCCATGGTGGCTCCAGGGCCTGGCCCACCCCATCGCCCTCCTCCCCTCGCAGTGAAGCACAGACACGTCTTCAAGACCTGCGGGCCGGACGGGCAGTGGGTGACAGGTCCCCGGGGACAGTCCCTGCGCGATGCCACACAGTGTGAGCTCGACGCTGAGGACCTGGAGGCGCAGGTGGGCAGAGCTGGGGGACGGCCGGTGCGGGGCTCCCTGCCCTGCCCGCCCCTGCCCTGCCCTGCCTGCCCCTGCCCTCACTTGCTCCCTCCCTCTCCAGGAAAAATTTGCCAAGACCTACGGCAGCTTCAAGGTGATGTACACCGTGGGCTACTCAGTGTCACTGTGTGCGCTGCTCCTCGCCCTGGCCCTGCTGCTGGGCTTCAGGTAGGGGCATGGGCACGGCTGCCCGGCTGCGGGGCAGGG